GCAGCGAAGATGCATTTCAGCCATGGAGTGAGAAACCAGAAACAACTTCTTTAGAGGCTTCTTTGTTTCCCCTCCAACAGAACTAACACAAGCATTCTTTCTATCCTTTTGCTTTCTCAAATGCAGGCACATCCCTTCTACTTTTCCTGAAAAATGAACAAACACCAAAAACAGGAATTTGTGCTTCAGTGTGAGACAGCAACAGGGCCTGGGACCTCATCCTAGAGACTAGGGATGTTCTTGGTTTTGTTGGATTGTATACTGGTAGCCCCCAGAAGAATGAGGAGGCTTCAAGCAGGTGTGTGAGGTGAAGTGAAAAGGTGTAACCTTAAAACTGGAAGCAAATAATATGAGATTTTTAGGAGCAAATTAGTATATGGTTTATAATGTGATTGATGCTGTCTTCTGGCAAACTTACCTCCTCAAGATCCTGGGGGAGCCAAGCTGAGCTGCTTCCCCTGCCAGAGCCAGCAAGTTCACCAAAAGGAATGAAAATGGGAGCGTGGGTTTCAGTGGAGCTGGGGGATTTCAGCCTTTTTTCATATTGTTTGCTCTCCGTCATAGACTTTGCAGCAGCTTTGCTTTCTCAGGATTTGCAGAGGGCGGTAATTTTGTTCATATGCAGGGCTAATTGCAAGTGGAACAGTCTGTGGGTGTGCGCATGCAAGGAGTTACGCAGGGAAAAGCATGTCACTAAGCTGTGAAAGCAGCAAACAGCAAAGCATAGCCAAAAAAAAAAAAAAAAAGGAGAAAGCCATTAGAGCAGGAACTGTGTCCCCTCAGTCTGGATGAGGAGCCTGAAGATGATGGGAGGAGTCTGGATGGAGTTGGGAGGCACAGGCAAAAAACAGAGAGTCCTACAAAGGAGAGCTACAGCCCTTGAAGAATCTGCCTTTGACAGCACAGCAGGTGACAAAGCTTGCGATGAACTGTGTTGTAGGATCCTTGCCTGGGTAGCTGTGTGCACCCATAGTTGCAGGTGCAGTCATTGGTTCTGATGGTACCTCACTACTGAAAGGGAGATGTCACACAAGCTCTCAGTGACTCGAGATTTTACAGGGAAAGCGAGACACAAAAGTGCTGGAACCTCCACTGAAAATGCCATTGTTACTCCATTTAAAACAGATTTGTGAGAAATATAAGCCCAGGGATTACCTGTGTCCAGATGGATTAGCCAGATGGGTTGCAGCAGAGACTTTCTACATATCCCTAGTTCAGGATCATCTTGGTGAATCATTAGCTCACACAGAACCATCATCTTTTGGTCCATGTAAATACCAGCACTGATGGTTTCTCTCTGATCACTTTTCATTCAGGTACCTGATTTCCCTATTAATTGCTCTTACTGGTTTTTTTTAGAGGGAAATAATGGAAAGATGAACAGCCCAGTGGAGCAAGGAGGTGGTTACACAGCTATCCTCAGGGTCATTCTAAAAACAAAGAGCACAGTGCTAAAAATCCCACCAGTCTTTCCTGAATGCCACAAACCCAAACCATTCCTGACCTCCTACAGTTTCACTCACTCAGCCACCATCTCTAATTTCCTCCCCTGAGAAAATGTAAAAGTAGATAAAAATATTCACAGCATCTTAAGAAGTGTATGAGTTTTGAAACTATTCCATAGTGGAAAGAAGTAAAAAAAAAACATAATACACAGCATTTACTAGAATGTAATAGTCCAATTAATACACTAGAACTGTTTTTCAGCTCCTGAATTTAATGCAAAAGGTTTTGCCTTCTGTTGGAGACAGAGCATATATTTTGCTATTTCAAAACGTAGTACCTGTGTATTATTGTAATTGGAAGATGTGGTTCTGAATTTCAATCCTGTGTGCTGCAGAGTTTATGCAACTTCTTTTCTGCCTCAAGGTTATAGAGTTGTTCAAGACTTAGGTCAAGCAGAGTGCAAAAGTATCATTTCAGAAAGAGACCCTCCTTTCTAGCAGTGTGTGGAACATCCATGTTCCTTTGTATTCAGAGAAGCAAGGTGGCTGGAGAGATGCAGCCTATGGCTCAGCAGCCACGTCAGGGTGACTAACTACCTGCTGCACTGGCTGCTCTTCTGAGGTCAGCTGCGGATCACATCAGGTCATGTTTTCTGCTTAAAAGCGGCGTTCTCTGAGGTCTTATTTCCCCTTACAAGGAAAGCCCTGCTGTAATAGCATATCACTTGCATAAATATACACCAAATTAAGGAAAAAATAAATTAAAAAAGAAAAAAAACACATACTTTTAAATCTCAGCTGTATGTCTAATCAAGTATTTCAATTCCTTTCTGGCATGAAGGGTTTCACCAACGCCCACAGGGAATCAATCAAAGCCTTTAGCAGAAGGGTGAGGGAGAGGAGATTTGTCTCTAATGTCATTCCCGCCTACTGAGGGTCTACTCCAGCCACCGAGAGCAGCATCATCGTCGCTTTCAGTGTTCCTCTGGAAAAATTAAGCACTTGGCATGTGTTATTGTGACGCCCACATCCTTCATCCCAGCCGTGGGTGGACTGAGGCAATCTCTTGTCCTGCTTCAGCTTCCCAAGCATCAGCAACAGAGAGGCACATAAAAGCAGGGACCAGCTCTCTGTCTCCCCTGTTCTTGTCTTCAGCAAATCCCATTCCTTCTTTTCCACACTGCCTGTAACTACAGTACTGTGATGACAGAAGCTGGAAGAAGGCAGCCAGTGGGTGGAGGAGAAGCATGGATGTGTTTTGGAGACCCTCCAGTCAGTGCTATGAGAGGGCAGCAAGGCTGCTTCTTAATCCTGCACACAACATGCTCCTGTGGTGCCCTGCAGTGTGCTCCCATGAGATCTCAGAGCTGGACCCCTCGCACATCCACAGCCTTTCTGCTTAGCAGCAGTCAGGCCTGAGAAGGGGAGCCCAAAGGAACACAAGGCAGGGCAGTCCTCCAGGCTGGTGTGTGGCACAGGGAGGGAGGCCATCCCTGCCCTGCAAGCTGGCATTTGCATCTACAGAAGCCGTGCTACTTCCCAGGTTCATTGAAGTTGCTTGTGGCCCCAGATGCAACCTTGAGTTTGTAGTCAAACTTTGTCCTTCTCTGTGGTAGGGACCTTCATGTTTTAGATAGGCAGGGGTTTTCAGTGGCAAGTCTGGACACGGTGGACAGTTGCTAATGTAGGCTCCAGATAAACCTAGCAAATCAAATTAAAATGATGTGGAAACAAAGCACTGGCTCATTCCTTCAGCAGGCTTTCCCTGCACTAATCCCCAGAAGATACAACACGGTTATGCTGCTGGGAAAGAGACAAGATCTCTTTCACTTTTTGTAAGAAGTGATAAGAGAAAGAAAGAAGTAGGTGTAAAACACTGTCTTGGTTACGTTTTTTTGTTTGTTTGTTTTGTTGTTGTTGTTGTTGTTTTTAGAAAATCCCTCCCTTTCAGACTCTACCAGCTTCAGACTGGTAGACTTCAAAGTTCAGAGGCAACTGACAGAAATATCCCAAACATCAATTCTCTCATTGCTACAGGGAATTTTTAAGAAAGCATAAAAATGAAAACTGTGGAGAATTTCAACCAATCCGCTGAATGCTTTACCTATTAACATATTAGATTATTATTGTGTTAATAAGAAAGAAATCAACCAGACAGAGCTGCATCCCATTTCTGTTTTTCTTTAAGTTCTTCTTGGACATGAAGTGATAAACAAACTCCAACATATATATCAACTGAGGAAACCCAACACCTTTGTCAGTAAAAGGCCTCTAACCCTTCTTCATGTCCGTACATCTTTAAAAATAAAACCTTTAAAAACATTCTCCCATGCCAGAAAGGGGCAAATGAATGAACAGATGGGGAATATATCGAGATTAATAGCTGGCTACGAAACTATTTGTCTGTGTAAAGACCTGTATGACTGCAAATACTTTTTGTGATGGGATGTGGAGAACTTGGTTCCTAGAGTTCTTGCTTGTGCCTGAGTGGTGAGTAGTTGCTGTACTTGCGTGTTATGGGCTTGAAAGGGAGGTGTCTCAAGTCACCGCCGGTAGGCATGTATGTGTCTGCAGCGATGGACAGCTATTGTGTATATGGGATGTTGGTGTGTGAGTGGCAGAAGGGACAGAGCTGACTGCTCTCCCAGGGCTGCCTTGGCTTCCCACAGTCATCTCTCCGCTCATCATGGCGCTTCACTGGCACTTTCCAAGTTTCTACACAGTCATAAGTGTCTTAGGGAGGAAATGGTGTATGAGAAATTGAAATGTTTTGATGCTTGGCAGATTAAGTATTTCAAAAGCTTAGAGTAACATTTCATCCCCAACTTTTATTTGAATTTGTTTCTAAAGAAGTAAAATCTTTTTTTTTAATTATGTTTTCCTTTAAAATGCTCTCAGTACTAGTCAGAACAAGCATTAAGAAACCTGTAATGCAACTTCCTGGGCAGCATGCTCAGATATCCAGTCTGTGATCTTCTGTTAAAACCTCCAGGAAATATCACGAGCAATAGCATTGTTGACTATTGAAAAACACTCTTAAGTATCAAAAGCACATGCCAAAAAGGACTTTTATAGGAAGGAAAATTACATCTGATCCAACAGCACTGTCATCAGCATCATCCAAGGGCACCACCAACATCCTATCTCAGGCCAAGATCAGGTCCCCGATCACCTTCTTCACTAGGACATTTCCGGTGCTTCCTTTTGTTGTTACTACTGAATTACCAGCATATTTAAATGCAATACTAGATATGGGATTTTTGACAGTACAGCACTGCAAGATTACTGCACCTTGTACTGTTGCTTCTTTCTATGCGGGTCAAGACTTTACATTTTTAAATGCCTTTCTCTTGGAAGTTAATGAAGGAGAAGCAGCACGTTTTTCAGGAAGCCTAGCAGATTTGAAATATTTTCCTTATGATCTGGTTATACCTGTTAAACATTTTGCAAAGCGTCTGGGTAGACTATCATATAACTCCGTTAATGATCCACTGTTCTTTTCTCTGTTTTTTTTTCCTTGTTTTTTTTTTCCTCCTTTTTTTTTTTTCATTACAGTTGAAATTACGGAAGAAATAGCAGCAGATTCCTTGCAAGATTTATACAGAGCTCTGGAGCAGGCCAGCCTTTCTCCTTTAGGAGACCACCGGATTTCCACTAAGCTGGAGTATAGGAAATCTTTTATAAAGAGATGTAGCGATCCAGTAGTCAATGAAAAACTGCACCAGCTGCGAATTCTGAAAAGCACTTTAAAGGTGAGACTACAGAGAGGAAAATCCTGCCCTAGGGTTGGATCTGACAGTATTGTATTCAGATATTAATTATGTGTGGCTGGAGCTCAGGTTGAATGTGGCTTGTGAAACGTGCATGGAAGATATGTGTAACCACTGTTCTTAAAGCAGAAGAAAATGTGCCTTGGGAGAGAAGTCAAAGGGAGGGGATTGTTTTAATTTGTGCCCAGGTAAAATCTCAGCTCCTCCTCTAGCTAGTATGACATCATTTCACATCACATTAATAGAGGAGACCTTAACCACCTTTTTTATCCCTGAAAACTTTCATTTATAAAAATGCATTTACTCCAGAATTGCTAAAGTCTAAAATGCAGCACAGTCAGCCTTTTGGAATGAAGCGATACCTCTTAAAACGTTTTATTATTTCCTGATTACTGAGTTTGTCTGGAAATGAACTGTGTGCTTGGTTTCTGCATAGACTGGTAGGATCATTGTATTTAATCAGTAGGATTGATTAAACAAATAGATCGTGGTAATGATGGATTTGAAGATTTTTATCATTATTGTAAGTGCAGTGCAGCTAATTTGAACTCCCTGTCAGCTTCTTTATTTGTTACAGCAGTTTCAAATCTGTACTGTTAGAGATTTCAGCAAACAATATGCTGGATTTCCCCAGGGTCTCTGTTAACTGTATTAAATTACTACATTTTAAGTCACTAGATAATTGTACAGTAGATTTTGTAACAGCTTTTATCAAAGAGAGTTTTATCAGCATTAATTAATTTTGTTTTCCATCACCTAGAGAAGCATTTAAGCAGTATTATTTTCATGCTGTGAGACTCCAGCCCTGAAGAAAATCTTTCCTATGCTTACCTTTTTGCACTGTATCATCTCAATGAAGACAACCAAAAGAACTAGGATATGTGTCTTTGCTAGATTGTAGACTGATAGAAAAAGTCAAGGTGAACAGGCTTTCCACGTAATTTTTACATGAGAAACTGAAGCAAAATCATAGCCATCTCAGATATGCGGAGCAGGCAGGAGGTTCACACAGAATCTACGCTTTTGTACCTTTGTACAATCACTCATACTAACAGTATGTAAGAGTTGCTGATCTGAAATATAAAAAATAACACATTTCTTGATACTTGCAGGAATTACACAGCCTTGCTGCTGTTCCATATCAACAGCTTATCACCATGCTTAATTGCCTTTCTCGTTAGCATTTATTGATACCTGAGTTACATTTTGCCAATGGTTTTCTACAAATGGAATTGTTTCCCCCCCCCCAAGGTCTTCCAAAAACAGCTCATCCCTTTAACCCAGCAGATGCCTGTTTTCATGCTTCTCTGTGTCTTCTTTCTTTTAGACCAAGCAAACATAATTTGTTTATTCTCTTTCCATGAGACATATTTTCTGAAGTAGTAACCAATCTTGTTTGGACCAGAATGACATAAATAATTGACAGTGCAATGCCAGCAAGTATCAAAGACAGATTATTGCTGTTTCTTGCATATGGCAACAGTGCAATGTGGCGTGTGCCTGTTTTGCAGTGGCATCACAGTAACTCATTAATTGTTTTTAGTTCCATCCTAACTCACCTCTACTATTGTACTGGTAGTAGTGTTTATCAGGAGCTACTGCCGTTAGCTAATCGTTTCCCCTTCTTATCAATGCCATTGAGTTCTCCTTCCTGAATATGTTCACTTGCACTTGCCCATTGGATCTGGTGTTCTGAACTCTCCTTTAATTCATTCAAATGATTAGTAATCTGTACAGCCCTCTAAATTGGTTCTAGCTCTTACCACACATAGGCTATCTGTTCTATCAGCAATGGAAAGACATTTCTGCTCTCTATGTCCTGACATAGCCACAAAACCATTCTCCTCAACAAGTATGAGCCACTTGACTGGCAGTGCTGGGTTGTGTGCAGATCACAATCTGCAAGAAGCACGTTATGGTAGTTCATGTGAATATATGGTAACAGAGATTCCAAAGGTTCTCTTCCTCTGTTTAGCTTCAGGTGTATGATTGTTCCTAAATTGAGTATTCTAGTATATAGCATTAATTAGCTACTGATTGTAAAGCATGAAAAATACCTTTAAACATACTACTTCTCGGTGACATCTCTGACTCTTCTGGTAACTATTCCACCAAAGCTGTCATTGCTGAATACTTCCCTAAACATGCTCCCTAGACAGGTTTATCATATTTGTGATATAAACATGGCAATTGTCTGTTAGAAATGAAGTCTATGAAACCCATCTGGCATGGAGGATAGAGAAGAAGTTGCTGGTGACCAGACCATGCCTTCACAGAGGAGAAGTGCTGGAGCTTGCCTGTTACTTGTTTTTTCAGGCTCAAGGCTGGTGCATCCATCTTCCACCACTAATAAAAACAGTGAGCAGCTGTGTGTGTGTCTGAGGCTTGCTCTGACCCATGCTGGCTGCTTGTCATCTCTCAATAAACTAATCACCAGCCAGTGATTAGGATACAGCCACATCCCCTGCATTCGTGACAAGTGGGGAGGTGCCAACAACTGTGTTAGATTTTACCCGTTCCTGCATTCTGCTTGCCACCACCGTGGTAGGAGGAGGTAGCAGCCAGCCACTTCACAGCATGCTCTGGATCGCTGGTAGGGCATTGCCAAGCTAAAGGCTCCTAGCACAGGCATTTGCTCAGGTGCCCCCATGACAGGCCCTGTAAAAAAGGCTTAGCTCTGCTGGCGGGAGGGAGGCCATCTGTCTGCATCCCACGCACAAACGCGGTATTTCTCATGCTGATCAAGGAGAGCAAACAGATGGCGCTTGGCAGCATGAAACTGATCCTGAAAATTAAAGCAGCTAGTAGTAAACAGCACAGGGCTTGTTTTTTGCAGGAGCTGAAGGAGGGGTGAGAGGGGAGTAGGGACCATTGCTGAGGGTGTGGGACAAGGTGAGGAGTGTCTGGTGCTGCAGGGTGATGAGTGACATCAGGGGAAGAGGCTGCCATGTGTGAGTGCTATCACAGCAGTTGGTTGGCTGCCCTGTTTCCCAGACCTCTGTGGCATCCTCATTCCCACCCTACCCATCCTGTTTGCTCATTGCTCACACTGACTCTACTTGTCTTTCTTCTCCCACAGGCCAGGGAAGGAGAAGTAGCCATTATAGATAAGGTTCTGGATAATCCAGGCTTGACGTCTAGAGACTTTCAAGAATGGAAACAAATATACCTTGACATCTTTTTGGACATCTGTCACAACAGCACCCCGAGGGGCTCTGTTAATGGCTCATCTGAGGTCGACGCACTTCTAGCTTCCTTAGCACACACGCACTCCTACATTGAAACACATGTATAAGGGGTCCTCTTCTACTCTATTTGCTACACTTCAAGCCTTTACATAAGTGCATAAATTAGGTTTTATATCAATATGTGGAACTTCTAGTAAACTATCTTTTAATGTCACTCAGCCGTGTGATGTACACCTTCAGTGGTCAATGATACCATGTCTTTAATGAGGATTTGTGTGTTTTATACACTACCAGTGCTACCAACTTGTGTTTACTTTCTGTAAAAATAATATGATCTTTAACTATTAGATAGAAGTATTTAAAAATGTTTTTGGAAGACTGTGGCCTTCACAGAGGAAGTTCCACAGGCTAAAGGTTTTGTTATTGAAGGTTGCTTTTACAATGATATTTTTTATTACATAATTCCAGTATTATATTGCATTTTTGGAGTGCAGGTACTATTTTGGTGGCAGGGGAATAAAAGAAAAATTATATTTAATGAGAAACTCTAGGAGTTTTCTTACATAACAGGGAAAAAGTGTAATGCAGTGACTGTGTTTCCAATTTTGTTGAACACAAAAGGGCTAAAATCAGCCCACTATAATGACTAATGTGAATTTAAGTATTAAACATTTAGGTTTTATTTCCTTGTACTTTTTTAAAGCCTGTTGCTAAGGTTTACCATCAGTGCAAAGAGATACTGGTCTGTATTCTAATTAAGACAAAATTATGTGTTACTTGTCTCTACTTAAATCACATTCGGTTGATTCAATTTTTTAAACAAAAATTAGTCGTGGTACTGTCATTTATGCTGCTTTTGTACCAGATCAGATTTTGCAAAAGAGAAAGAGTAGACTTTGAACATCCTTGATAACTGCATTTTTATTGCCAAGAAAAGCAGCAGCGGAAAAGGTTCCCAACAAAATGCTCCCAACCTGAGAGGCTTTGAAAATTCCCACAATAGAAAAGGAGTGAAATTTGGCCATATTGTACTTGGGGAAAAAAATATGATAGGAACAGAGCTGAGCACAGAACCTGAGAAAACTGAGAGCTCGGAAAGTCTCTGCTCTGCCTCTGAATGTCTCTGGTTTCTGCTGAGTTCACAAGCCAACAGAAGGGTTTTAAACTTCCCTGAGAGCTGAGATGTGCTGCAGAGTGCACAGTGAATATAAGCAGAAATATCTCCTTAGATTTAGGCACCTGTCTGGAATAGGGAAGAGAGAGGTAAACTATCTATTTACTCTTTATGGTCTTGTTCTCAAAAAGTGATCAGAGCATGACAAAGCATTTGTGCTGCTTTTCAGTGTTTTGCTGCATAAGTTAGGATTCGAGATGTAGCTTAGTAATGCTCATGCGAGAGGGCACAGCCTCTTTTATTCTTTCTATAGTGAGTTGTACGTTTAGCCAACCTTTGCTTATTGCCTGTACAGCTCAGTGAATGTACTTCAAACTTCATGAGCTCTGGTATTTCCTGGCAGTTGTATTCATGATGAGATGAAGGAAAGAACAGATTTATTTATTTGTTCTTTCTTTCTTTCTTTCTTTCTTTCTTTCTTTCTTTCTTTCTTTC